GCTCCATCAGCTCCATGCTTCACGGTTCTTCAGCCTCACCTGGTTCTTCGTCTGAAGCACATTTCCTGGTGGAGAACGGTGAGGTGAACTCCAGGTGCTCAGATGTGTTCGTCCATCATGAAGCCATCGCCAGTTCTCTGCAGCGTCCACACGCAGAACGGAGTCAGAATCTAACGGCCGGTTCTGCTCGAGTCTCGGGTTCTCTCCTGTGTTCTCGCACTACAGAGGAGTGACGGTCATGTCACTGCTGAGCTCCTGCTTCACAGCTCAGTGTGTGTGTGTGTGTGTGTGTGTGTGTGTGTGTGAGAGAGAGAGAGAGAGAGAGAGAGAGATGGACCTTCTGCCCCCTGTTAACCCCTCACTGGCTGGCAAAGAAAGCTCTCTCTCTTTCTGTCTTTCTCTCTTTCTTTCTGTCTCTCTTTCTATCTTTCCTTCTGTCTCTGTTTCTCTTACTGTCTATCTCTTTCTATTTTTCTATCTTTCTTTCTCTGTTTCTGTCTGTGTTTCTGTCATTCTGTCTCTCCCTCTCTCTCTCTCTCTTTCTGTCTGTGTCTCTCTCTTTCTTTCTTTCTTTCTTTCTTTCTCTGTCTTTTTCTCTCTATCTGTCTCATTTTCTGTTTCTCTCTCTCTCATTCTGTCTTTCTCTCTGCCTCTGTTCATCTCTTTCTTTCTCTCTCTCTCTCTCTCTCTCTCTCTTTCTCTTGCTCTCTCTCTTAACCATTCTCATGTTTAAAAAAGTGGATTAATCTCTCAAAAAAAAGTGGCAAAATTATTGGCACCCCTAAAGACCATTTTAATTAGACAGCAATTATCCTGTTTTTTGTTGTTGTTGTTGTTGTTGTTGTTGTTGTTGTTTTGCCTTTGACCTTGTTTTCTTTCTTGATGTATAAATATGAGGTTGCAAAAACAAAATCTCTTCATCATTCATCACCAGCTCAGCTAATGGATATAAAAATGCATTAACAGCATGCATTAAAATACAATTAAGAACAATCAGGGCCATTATTTTAAAAAAACAGTCTGAAACAGTTGAGTGTCTTCTTAGGAGTGTCCACTTTGGGTCATCCAGGTAGTTTTTTTTTTTTTTTTAAATCAACAAAGAATGTGCTTGAAAGTGATGTCATGACCGTCCTTGCTAATGCTAGCTCTAGTTAGCATGCTAACTCTGGGGGTGGAGCTTTGTGTTCATAGGCAGGAATGGGGGAGTGGCCTCAAGGAGTAAATTAAAATCATTCAGGAGTTCTTGAACCCACCTATCTAACCATCAGAGACCTAATCTTAACTAATTTTGACTAAATCTTGCCTAATGCTCTTTTAATTCTCATTCTCATAGTTACACTTTATTGATGACAATTATATAATGATAGTATATATATAAACTGAGACCATTTTAGGATGTTGGTGTAAGCTCTGTCTGAGGAAACTGTGTTTAAAAAAATTTATAATATTACTTTGAATATTACAATACACTTAGCAGTAACAGTTAGTGATGTTGGAGTTTAAAAACAGGCGGGTGTTCAATGTGTATTTAATACAGAAAATGATATTTATCCCTCCTGTATCATGAATTTAGTTAATTTTATATATACACAGTACTGTGCAAAAGTCTTAGGCACATGCAAAGAAATGCTGTAGAGTAAAGATGCCTTCAAAAATAATGAAACTAAATGTTTCTACATTTTAAAAAAATACTATAAAGAGCAGTAAACAGTAATAAATGACACAAAGTCAATATTTGGTGTGACGATCCTTCGCTTTTAAAAGAAAAAACAGTATCTCAGGTGCAGTGTGTGCAGTTTTATAAGGAAATGAGCTGTAAGTGTTACTGAGCATCTTGCAGAAGCAGCCACAGTTCTTCTGGAGACTTTGACTGTCGACTCGCTTCTTATTTCTGCAGCGAAACCCAGAAGCCTTCATTATGTTTTTATCTGAAAAGTGTCTCTTATGGAATCTGCTGCTTTCTTTACTGACATACAAACATTCTTCTGTAACATTTCATTTTGTGCTGGAAAACTAATGTTTGGAATCTAAAATATTTTTGTACTGAATCAATAATGTAGAAGTCAGAAAATAAACATCTATAACAAAGTTTGTACTAAAAAAAAGAGGGGGTGCCTATTTATTATATGCCTATTATGTATATATATATATATATATGTGTGTGTGTGTGTGTATATATATATAGAGAGAGAGAGAGAGAGAGAGAGAGCGCTATATATGAATGAATTTATTCATAAATCCCTTGTAGGTGCGTTTACACAAGAAATGTTCGGAAAAACATCCATATGCTAGGTTTCGCTCCTGAGTTTATGTAAGTTTATATATAAGGAGACTCACTAATGTGAAACTCGAACAATCGGATTCATTAGTCATACAAAGTCATACAACTGAGTTAATTGTTGATGAGTTACTTTTCTATACAGATTACACTATCAAGTTTGAATCATGTTTTTATTTCAATTAAACACAAGAAATTTAATTTAATTTGGTGAAACCCAAATTTCATGTCAAACCCTTTTCTTTTCACCTCGTTTAATTCACACTTTCAGTAATTTGTCTGCTGTTACACTGATAAAACTTTTTTTCTTTTATTGTTGTACACTTGAGTCAAAATAACTTCCACTTCTGTCTCTGAGAAATTTCTTTTCTTTCATTGTTTTGTCTTCATTTCATTCTTTCAGCTCCTGTGTGAGTTTCCTTTTATGGAGTTTTGTGGGCGTCACTAAATGCAAATCAGCTACGGCGTGCATGCGTTTTGCACTTTACAGGTGATTGGTATTCATCAAGTGAATACGGAATAAATCAGCGTTACTGAGACTCTTAGAAATCTGGCATAAAATTTAAGTTTGGTTTGGCTCACGCAAACATTTTACTAAAAGGCTGAAACAAGGCCCAGTGTTCACGGTACATCATGACGTCTCAGAATATTTTAGTCCAAAACCTGGTTGCCTCTTCCAGGAGGTTACGCCTTTGCCATAGGTGGCTCTTTTAACAACACAGCGACCCCAAACACACTTCCAAATCAACACAATGAGGCAGTGCTGTGCTACGATCATCTCAGTATCAGGATGCGAATATAAAGGAGCTTTAAAAGAGCCTCTACAAGCATTTCTATCCTTGTTAGACACTACAGGAAGAGAATCTCTCTCTCTTCACACATACAGGGATTTTTTTTTTAAATATATTTTTAACCTTCTGTTTTAAAAAAAATATTATCCACATGAAAACACAACAGCAATATGAAAACGTCCACATGATCACACCAGCCCAGTAGGTGGCGACAGTATTTCATAAACTGTTACAAACACCTCAGGCACAACGTTAAGAGATTATTATTGGATTATAATGATTAATAATTGATTATATAAATTATTATAATGCGGAAAAACTCCAACCAAATGTTCTAACACGGAAAATTCATATTCCTGTGTGTGAATTGGCAGTGAGGTGGAACCACTTCATGGTATTGTGTTCACCCGGGCCTTAAATATCCGTGTACGTGTGGGCGGGGCTTCAGTGCTCTGTTATTCTCTCCATTAAAGGCTTTACTGTATATTACCTCAGATATTTTCACTTGTGCTGATTATTTCATTAAGGGTGACAATAATTTTAAAAAGGAGGGATGGAGGGGCATGTATTTTGACAAGCCTAGACGAAACGGAAATGACGTGATGTGTCGCTATAGACAGGGCTCGGGTTGGATGGTCCGTCATAATATCCGTGAGGTTTAATATTCTCGGTGGGAAATGTAGCGCGATTATTTCGTAAGTAAAGCATAAAATCAGATTTTCTCTTTTCAGATATACTGTATAGACTGATACAGTATTTAAGTCGATATTTCATACCGTGTTGTAAATTAGCTATCAGTTATGTGTACAAGCTAATTTATCTAATTCACGAGCGACGGCTACGTCCCAAACTGCAGACCGCTAGTGTCCTAAATACTTTGCTAAACTACAGCTGTGTAGTATTTTACTGTTCTATTTAGCACCCTAGCGTTCGGTTTGGGACGTGACCCAAATTACTCAGCTGTAGCTTTTACACGGTTTAATAAAAGGTCCAAAAATAACCAAAACAACTTCACTTATCTACGTACTAGGTTACAACGTCTTAATGCAACTTCCTGTCTATAAGTAATTACATTTTATTAATCAATTCCTGTGTTTTGTTTCTCGTTCCTGAACTCAAGGGCAATGGCAGCCGGAGCGGTGTTACGTCCTTTCCTGTCCGGCTGCGCTCCCACACTGTCGAAGGTTCCGCGGCTCAGCGCGCTCCCGGTCTGCGTCAGGACGGTGCACGTGTGTCCGGTTTTGCGCGCGGGCCACAACAAATGGTCTAAAGTGAAAGACATCAAGATCCCGAAAGATGCAGCTCGAGCGCGAATGATCGCCAAATACGCGATGCTGATCAGGGTGGCGGTGAGAGGTGCGGCATAATAATGGCTCACGCGCCACTGCTGCTTCTAATAATAATAATAATAATAATAATAATAATAATAAACCATATAGTAGCTTAAAGTGCTATACAATCAAATATTAAAGATTCAGTAATAAAATGTAATAGAATGCACAGAATAAAATATGAAGTGGAAATACAAGTTAAAAAAAATAGCATTATAATGTAGAAGTACACAAATATAGAATGAAATTAAATATATATGTAAATTCAGCTTATTTAAATAGCACGTGTAAGACAGCAAGAGTTGGCCAAAGTGCTGTACAGTAACATCAGGTTTCAAACAGCATCCATCCATCCATCCATTTTCCATACCGCTTACCCTACACAGGGTCACGGGGAGTCTGGAGCCATTTCCCAGGGGACTCGGGGTACAAGGCGGGGGACACACTGGACAAGGGCACAATCGCACACACACTCACACACCCATTTACACACAAATGCCAATCAGCCTACAGTGCATGTCTTTGGACTGAGGGAGGAAACCGGAGTACCCGGAGGAAACCCTCGAAACACAGGGAGAACATGTAAATGTCACACACACAGGGCGGAGGAGGGCTTCGGACCCCCAACCCCTGAGGTGCGAAGCAAACGTGCTAACCACTAAACCACCGTGCCACTGTTTCAACCAGCAATGAAATACAATGAAATCAATCAATAAATGACAAAAACAGTAAGCAGCACGAAAAGACCAGACAAAATTGAAGACATGATACTACTGATTAAAAAGACTCAAGTGCTTAGGATAAGAAATATGATTTTAAATTGAAACTAAAATATCTACGATGGGGGATGATAAAGGAAGCGTAAGATGCTCCGTAATCAAAGAGCTGTTTGTTTACTTAAAAAAAATAAAATAAAATCATTTTAAAATAATGTCATTTAAATAGAATTAAATTCCATTACAGTAAAATGGCTCTATTAACACCAAACACTTTCAATTAAATAAAAAAAAAAAAAACTTTTGTGTCAAATGCTTTTTAAAACAGTGTTCAGAGCTTTAGTGCTTAATGCAAAGTGCAGGTGAGTTTTGAAGCGTGAGAATGAATAATGGTACATTTCCAAGTCTGGGAATATTAACAAAAAATATATTAATATTTTTCAATTATAAATGTCATGACAGTTGTTTTTATTCTATAAGAATGTTGTCTCTTGTGAGCAGACTACTCAGACTTAACAGATTCCACACTGTCAGGGATCACATCGGACCCGAATTAACAAATGTCCTAAATAATCCACCCGCTATATATGCACTTTGTTAATGTGAATGAGTAAGTAATGTAGGAAATCTGTTGGAAACTAGTAAAAAAAAAAAATAGATCACAAAAAAATGACCCTATTTTCTGTAAACTAAAAATGGAAACATTAGGAACTAGGAAATGGATTGTGATAGTAATAAATAAATGAATAAATGTCTGTGTGTGTGTGTGTGTGTGTGTGTGTTTAGAGGGAGGACCAAACCCGGAGTATAATGTCACTTTGGCTCAGCTTATAGAGCAGTGCAGAAATAAAAGTCTACCCAAAGCCACCATCGAGGCTGCTATTAAAGGAGCGGTAAGGGAAAAAATTTAATTAAAATAAAATGAAAAAAAGTTCTGGGGGAACTACTGAGACTTACTTCTGATTAGAATGTTATGTAAAGTATAAAACATGACAGGAGTGTGCTGTTATAGACAAATAATCAACAACGGGATGGTGAGATGAAGCGGAGTTACTACCGTGTTACTGCTGTGAAGTTGATTATTTTCCTATAACAGCATGTCCTGAAGAGTTACATTCCTCATACACCACAGCAAGCCTTATATATTTTTTATTTATTAAAGAATGACACGTCAAACTTTTTAATCTGTTTGTAGTTACATGTAATGCTGTGGAACATCCGTGTATGAAGTTAGTTCCTGTTCTCACTTACGTTATAGCAGCTATAAACAGTCGTTCCCTCACGAGTCTCTCTTTTTTTTTTCTTGAGGTTAATAAGACAAACATTTTCAGCTTGTCATGCAAGTTTAAACTCCTCTGTCCTGAAGATGTAGAAAAACTTAAAGTCACAGCTTAACATCTGACTGATAGAAAGGATAATGTATTAGTTCGAGTGTATGTGCACTGTTGTCAGAGCTGCTGTTATAGATAAATGAATCAACACCTTCTGACCAATCAGAATCCAGAATTCACACAGTGCTGTGGTATAAGTTGTAAGAAAGACTGTACTGAAAAGACCATAAATTAAAAAGGAAAAAAAAAGTTTGTTTTTTGCCTTATTTTTCTCTTTCTGTCCTGTAGGAAAAGTCAAAAGCTGGCGCTCAGTACCTATACGAGGCGCGAGGGCCCGGAGGTTCCATGCTGCTCATCGAGGTTCTGACAGACAACAGCACACGCTCACACCAAGCCATCAAACACATCTTAATGAAAAATGGGTCAGTGTGGAGTCTCTCATAACCCGAAATGATGCCCTGCTGGATACGCTGGATAAATGTAGTTTTAGTGAAATCTCCACTTGTCCACAGGGGGGCGATGTGTGAAGGCGCCCGGCATCATTTTGAGAGAAAAGGCGTCATCGTGGCGACCCAAGACCAAGTTTCTGCTGAAAGGGCTCTGGAGCTGGCGATAGAGTCGGGAGCTGAAGACGTGCACGAAACCGAGGATGAGGAGGAGAAACCGATTTTACAGGTTACACACTGATCTGAACACCAAACGCAATAAACACAGAGATTTTTTTTTGGTCATTAATAATAATTAATAATAATAATAATTATTGACAAAGAAAAAAAGTTTCTAAAACTTTTTGTAAATTTATTTTTTTTAAAATCAAAAGAGCCATTAAAATATTCAGAGCCTTTATTCAGTACTTTGTAGAAGCTCTTTTGGCAGCAATTACAGCTTCGAGTCTTCTTGCCTAATTCTCTACAGTCTTTATACCCCTGGATTTGGGCAGTTTCTCCTATACTCCCTCGCAGATCCTCTCAAGCCCAATCTGGCTGGATGGGGACTGATAGAATCTGTGATCTGCCATCTTCAGCGCTCCGCACAGATGTTCTGCGGGGTTCACGGCTTTGGCTGGGCTACTCAAGGACATTCATAAACTTATCCTGAAGGCACTCTAGCATTTTCTTGGCTGTAATGTGACTCCACCTTCACCCCAATCTGAGGTCGTGTGCACTCTGGAGCAGGTTTTCTTCAAGGACCTCTCTGTATTTGGCTGCATTTATCCTTCCTTCAATTCTGACCAGTCTCCCTGTTCCTGCCACTGAGAAGCATAAGTCCCCATAACAGAGTGTTTCCACCAGCATGCTTCATCATATGGATGGTATTAACCAGATGATGAGTAGCACCTGATTTTTACCAGATGTTCAGCCCAAGAATGTCAATTGTCTCTTCAGATCAAAGAACATTTTTTCCTCATGCTTTCAGAGTCCTTCAAGTGCCTGCCATCTGTCTAGACATTTTACCATAAAGGCTTGATTGATGGAGGATTTCTGAGATGGTTGTCTTTCCAGCAGATTCTCTCATCTCTGCGGAGGATGTCTGAAACTCTGTTTGAGTGACCATTGGGTTTTTGTTCACCTCTCTGGTTACTGAGATTGACTGGACAACCAGCTTTAGGAAAGAGTCCTGGTGCTTCCAAACTTCTTCCATGGGAACATTCAAAGCTTTAGAAATGGTTTTATATTCTCGCCCAGATCTATTTCTCAACACAATTTGATCACTGAGGTCTACAGAGAGCTCCTTGGACTTCATGGCTTGGTTTTTGGGATGTCATCCACTGTGAATTGTGGGATCTTAGACACATCGGTGTGTCTTTCTAAAACAATGTCCAATCAGTTGAATTTGCAACAAGTGGACTAAATTCAAGTTCTAGAGACATGTCAAGATAATCAGTTTTATGTTTTATGACTTCCATTACAAATATGAAATAGCAAGTGGTGCATCGATTTGTTTACTTCCCCAAAGACAAGTTTATTGTGGTTCAATATTTTGTACTTGATTTATAAAAGAACAGTTATAACCGAATTCTACAGACACACACACCTACCCACAAACACGTGCACACACACACGTAGCAAATATGATGACTTTATACAGTGAAAGAGGCTAAAAATGGGATATTTTCACCATTGTTAATAAATGTATATAATAGTTTGCAAATTTTGCAGGATTAAAATTCACCTAGACATGATTCTTTTTTCTCATCTTTTATCCTTTTTCATTTAAACAAATCAAATCTTTTTGTTGATCAGCCATAACATTAAAACCACTGACAGGTGATATGAATAACATTGATTATCTCGTTACAATGGCATCTGTCACTGGGTGGGATATATTAGGCAGCAAGTGAACAGTCAGTTCTCGAAGTTGACGTGTTGGAAGCAAGAAAAATGGGCAAGCATAAGGATCTGAGCAACTTTGACAAGGGCCAAATTGTGCTGGCTAGACGACTGGGTCAGAGCATCTCCAAAACAGCAGGTCTTGTGGGGTGTTCCCGCTATGCAGTGGTTAGTACCTACCAAATGTCTTCCAAGGAAGGACAACCGGAGAACCGGCGACAGGGTCATGGGCTCCCAAGGCTCATTGATGCTCGTGGGGAGCGAAGGCTAGCCCGTCTGCTCTGATCCCACAGAAGAGCTACTGTAGCAGAAATTGCTGAAAAAGTTAATGCTGGCTCTGATAGAAAGGTGTCAGAACACACAGTGCATCGCAGCTTGCTTCATATTGGGCTGCGTAGCCGCAGTCTGGTCAGAGTGCCCATGCTGACCCCTGTCCACTGCCAAAAGCATCTAGAATGGGCACGTGAGCATCAGAACTGGACCATGGAGCAATGGAAGAAGGTGGCCTGGTCTGATGAATCATGTTTTCTTTTAGATCATGTGGAAGGCCGGGTGCATGCACGTCGCTTACCTGGGGGAGAGATGGCACCAGGATGCACTATGGGAAGAAGGCAAGCCGGTGGAGGCAGTGTGATGCTCTGGGCAATGTTCTGCTGGGAAACCTTGGGTCCTGGCATTCATGTGGATGTCACTTTGACACGTACCACCTACCTAAACGCCCCAAGTACACCCCTTCATGGCAACTGTATTCCCTAATGGCAGTGGCCTCTTTCAGCAGAATAACGCGCCCTGCCACACTGCAAAAATTGTTCACGAATGGTTTGAGGAACATGACAAAGAGTTCAAGGTGGTGACTTGGCCTCCAAATTCCCCAGATCTCAATCCGATCGAGCATCTGTGGAATGTGCTGGACAAACAAGTCCCTGGAGGATATGTTTACAATATGTTTATAATATGTTTTGAAATTAGTTATTTACACACTATATGGCCAAAAGTATGTGGACACCTGACCATCACACCCATATGTGGTTGTTCCCCAAACTTTTGCCACAAAGTTGGAAGCACACAATTGTATAGAATGTCTTTGTATGATGTAGCATTAAGATTTTCCTTCACTGGAACTAAGAGGCCCAAACCTGTTCCTGCATGACAATGCCCCTGTGCAGAAAGCGAGCTTCATGAAGACATTGTTTGCCAAGGTTGGAGTGGAAGAACTTGGGTGGCTTGAACAAAGGCCTGGATCTCAACCCCACTGAACACCTTTGAGATGAACTGGAATGCCAACTGTGCCCCAGG